GGAACAGTTTCAATGTTATAAAAAAAATTGGTTTGTCTTTTTTCTGGGCAATTTTTCTCTTCATAAGAACCTTCCTCGGACTTCAAGGAATATTTCAAAAAAAAAATGTTATCGAAATTGCAACAGCTGTTCTCGAATTTTGCGCTTAGCAACACATTTAGCGATCCATTTTTATATAGATTGACTAAGGACTACCTCAGGGAACTATATTAGGCCCCTTATTATTCTCGGTATACATTAACTCGCTAATGTTACAACTTGATAATGTCATTACTTTTGCTGATGATTCGGTATTGATACGTGATATGGATACTTGGGACGAAGTACATGCGATGTTGGAGGAGAATATCAGGGTTGTGAATTTTTGCATATATCTTACAAAAAGAAGTTCATGCACTAGATACCTGGGCGTTTAAATGGATTGTCATTTTTCATAGCAGTCACATTAACTCCATCATCAAAAGAATAAAATATGTTCTTTAGGTTTAGTTTAGCAATGCTGATGGATTAATACTAGGGACTAGTGCCCGGGGCGGTAAATTCGGAGAGGCGGCGAAATTCGGGACTTAAGAAAAATTGTTTTGCGTTGTCAAAAATGTTTAAAAAAGCTCATTTACAAATTAATTGTACGCGCTGCGAAATACTCAAGTTGCTATTTTCCAAATATACCTTTTAAATGAATGAACTGGTTGAGGTATGATCCACAGCGTTTGTTAACCTTTGTAGTAGAATATAGGTAATGGGACAGCATTTTTTACGGTGCCCAGGGCGATGCTAACGGAAAACCTACCCTTGCGGCGAGTTTGCTTTTAGCCCACTTATTCCTATTTAACAGTTTTCATTTTTTAATCTAATTAAATAATTCATAAGGTCGTCAGCCTTAAGACTGGTTGGACGCGCACGTTCACTCTTCCCTATCCTGAGCTAATCTTCGCATTTGCCTAAAACTAGAACAACCCACATCCTTAACTATCTGCGAACACTAATCTAATGTAGGTCTACCTCTACCCCTCCTAACTTCCGTTTCTGCCTCTAATATGTCTCTGACTAGATCTTCATATCTGAGAAGGTGTCCTACTAACGTTGATTTCCATAGAGTCCTCTGTTCTCCTATTCTTTCTAATACCTCTTCATTTCTAACCTTCTGTATCCACGGTATCCCCATCATTCGCCTGTAACACAACATTTCGAACGCTTCTAACCCACTGCATGTTTCGCACTCGTACAATGCAGTGCTCCAAACATACACCTTTAACAACCTTTTTCGAATTTCTGTGAGTGACTTCTTTTTGTTGAAAACGACTCTACCCTGCGGTATCCTCTGCTTTATATACTTTTATGCTAATTATAAATAACTTACACTTCTGTACATATTTTTAAAGAGGCAGGAGCCCATCACACAAATTATCAAAAAACTAAAAATAGACTTGTTAAATTTGAAACGTTTAGGCGCGCTCTGCATTACATCTGGCGTTCAAAAATCTTGAAATCTTAAATTATAAATTATTCTTAATATTTTTAATTCATTCTTGAATTGCGTTTCCGTTTTCCAATTATTTGTTTGTAATTCCTTGTAACTAATATTTTTCAGGTATGGGTTGACGCTGCCACTCAAGTTTTCTTTTCGTTAGGGCCTGGATTTGGAGTACTATTGGCTTATGCATCATATAATAAATACCATAACAACGTATACAAGTGAGTTCATTATTAACATTTTTCTTAAATAATAACAGTAAAAAGTCAAATTTTAGATTTGATAACAATAACATCATCATTATAAGTTCGAAAACTAGTTGAACACGTATCTCCACTTCTTCCTATTTAGTTTCAATTTTCAACCTAAACAGATCTACCTCTGTTTCTAATACCATATGTCTCTATTTTTAGAACTTAGAACTTTTGTCGCATTTGAACTCCTGTGATATTTTTCTAATCTCCTGTATGATATTATATTTTATAATATTCCTCCACTTTCTTCTGATGTCCTGCGACATCATAAGAGCTGTACACAAAACGCAAGACATTCGGTAAAGTACTCTCGTGGAAAAGCCAACCTTAATATTTCTCCTTAAACGATATCCTTCCATTTCTCTTAAATATTCATTCTTCCAAGTTTATTTTCTCACAATTTCGCACTTGTATGATCGAGCCCATATGCGGGTTCTTTTTAAAGTGAAACTTCTTTACGCACGGTAGGGTATGTTCGTTTCATGCGAATTGCTATGTAACGAAATCATGCAACGCATTTCCCCCGCTGTCTGTCCCTATGTATGTTTAGATCTTTAAAACTACGCAACTGATTTTAATGCGTTTTTTTTAATAGATAGAGTAATTTAAGAAGTAGGTCTATAATAATATACTACAGTATTGTACACCTTAAAGAGGTCTACAAAAAAGTCCGCGATGGTGTATGTCTATCTTTTAGGGATAACCCACAATAACCATTTTTTATCCTATACTTTTTACGAGAAATAATGGCTTATTTACGAAGTGATTTAATATTTTCGAAGATATTACAGACTTAAAATGCAGAGACATAGCGGTTGCGGCGGTACCGGCCGGTTTGTATTGCCTAATGACAAACAAGCTGTGATTGTTGTATATAAAGACATTCTATAGTATAATTACTATCAGCATTGCACCCGTGCGAAGCATAGTGTACAAATAATACCATTAAACCAATTCCTTAACCCCTATCCCGGTATGTTTGTGTGTTTGAAGAAGTTTCACTTCGGTAGCGTGTTGTATAATTACACGTTGTATTTTTTTTATATTTGAACATCTATGATACTGCTGTAAATTTTGTAATAAGTATCCCTTGATATATCGATGATGTCTTCTGTTTTCTTTCTGGTGTCTTATGATGACATCAGAATTTTACATGCACGTTTTCCGTTGTTTAATCCTCGAATAGAAGCTTTCCCTGGCGGCCCAGAAATAATTTTGGTAACAGCCTTTTTTACATTTATATTTACCTTAAGGGCAAGATACACATATGAATTTTTATTTTCTGTATAATTATCGAAACATAAGATTCATTCCGCTCCTTGCTATATTCTTTTGTTAAATATCTATTCGTGACGTAATTAAGTTCACGTTAAAAATCAAGATGATCAACATGATCCCTAACTTGACTGTTAGAAGTGATACAAGTTTTCGTAACGAAAATTATGCAGACCAGATTTATTTCTAAAAGCAAATACTCCGTGTGTTTCGTTTGAAAGGCAGTGGTGTTGTCGAGTTGTTCCGGTACTTCCTTTTTGGACAGGAACGCGTTCCGGAACTAAAGATGATTTCTGATATAGAGAATTGGCTGACGCATTGAAAAAAAAATTTAAACGAATTGCTGATTTTTTTTCTAATTTTTGACGAATTTTTATATGTATTATTGTAAACAAGGGTTTGAACCGAACCCGAACCGGAACAAAAACCGGAACGAACCGGCTTGTTTTTCCGAACCGTGAACCGGAGTCCGGAACGTTTTTTTCTGCTGAACCGGAACTCGAACCGAACCGAAACAAATACGTGAACCGGTTCAACGGGAATTAAACTTTATTTATAATAAACATTAGAAGAAAAAGATACAAAATTTTAAAAAAGTAAAGATTTCATAGATAAATTTTAATACAAGCGGCCCACGGACCGTATGTTACTCATCCCTGGCATAGTTTATTGCCATACCCAAATGGGCCTGCGGCTAATGCTAAGAATTTTTATTATACATTTGTTGTGAACTAGAATTTCCAGATGTTGGTTTCCAGTATTGGTAGATGTTTTAAACTTTATTAGTTTATTACAGTGATGCTAAGAAAAATGCCGACAAACGTACCGATTTTC